ACAGTAGTAATAAATCAGGTGCCTTGGGAAATCTAACAAAGAAATATACCAAAGCCAAGCTTACTTTCAACCAGACCGTCGTTCAGCATCATGCGGTAATTATATAATCGCGTTTCCCAGCTTTCATGTAGACCAGTACGGAGCCGGAACCTAACAAGCCAAAATCCCCCGTGGATTAGTTATGTTGTCCTAATGCTTGGAGACCTGTGTACTGAGAGCTCGTTGTACCATCAGTAGATATCTGCAACCGAGACAGTTGCATTGCTGGAAGTTTGAGCAACAACATCATCCTCAGTCCCATTAGGATCTGGTGAGATTCAGGGGCAAACAGAGAGCGCCAGTACGTCATGCTGATCGTCAGAGCAAAAATCACATGGGGGTCGGGTGGTCATGCGCTGAGACTAAGTTTGCTGTCATCGTACCCCGATGGTGTGGCTAGTTGCTGATTTTCCTTGTCAAGATTCTCTGGTATTTGCAGGTTTTTGGATATAGCTGGAATATGTCTGACTCGTATTTACTTGAATAATGACAGTATTGGTTACGAACAACTCAACGCCAAGTAGCTTTCCTGACATTCATAAGGTGCACCAGAGGCGAAGTTAGTGGGGGGGGGGGGGGGGGGGGGGTAGTAAGCGCAGCGAATCTTACAAGAATACCACTATGGTGACACCTATCCGAATGAGTATTGTGCTGGCAAACCTAAAAAAACATCAGGTCGCATGACGACGAGCTGTCAATGAACAGACTATTGCCTAAACCAATTATTTGCGATTTGCAGCAACTTCAGTCAGACATTTCAGTCTTTTCGAATTATTATCAGTGATGGTTCCGGCAGTCCGTTTGGAACCAGCAGGCTGCTCCCTTCCATGGCCTGTGTAACGCGTTTTGGTATAATTGCTTTGAAAGACAAACATGTCCGCGCAGCCCTACCATTAAATGGCATCATGGGATTCGGCCACACCCAGGGACGCAACTCTGCACAGCGAATTACGGTGCCGAAGAAGACAGTGCAATTCCCCGTCAGAAGTAGCACCAACATGCTCACCTATAAAACTGTAAAGGGCATGGCATGTACTGACATCAACCTCTGCAACGTTATTGTCCTTCAATGGGTAACGCGATATTCGAACCATATTACTGCACAGCCGTTTAGCATAGTGATACCACAGTGACGACATTCTGTTCACCCAAGTACAGCACTAGCTCTTACGAGGTTTACAAAGTCAAATTGGTTTTAAATGCATTTGTCGTAAACAAGAATGCATCAACCGTCCTAATGGCCCTTACATTAGCATCACGTTGCTCATCGCTTATCGTAACTGTCATCTTTGATGGTCATCAATATTGACCACGATTAATATTTCCGTTGCTCAACAAATGAGCCATTATCTGACCAGAGCTAATATTGAGCTGGCAAATGAGCATGATACAAAGGATTACCGATCAAGCTGTCCATAATTTGGGGCTTTTGAAGAAGACGGTCGACCGTTGACGCAAAATGGAATCGGTAATTATTTCGTAGACTGCAATAATTGGAAACCTCGGCTAGACGTCAATTAAGGGGTTAGAATTGTTAATCCAGTTCATACTAAGCTAGCTTCCTGTCCCAGGTGTGTCGGAATAATGTTTGGTTTGTTTGTAAGTTGATTGTCGCCGTTCTCAGCAATATTCCAGCTATATGACGCCGGTCTGTAAATAATCGAATCTGGATCAGAAAATCCAGTGATTGACATCATGATCATCGATCCACCCAATTGGGAAACGATGACATGTATCAACCAAGTCAGGGAACCTGACCACCCGATCCCGTTAGTCGCCTCTTACGACAAGCATAGTCGCCTTTTACGGCAAGCATTGGTAGCTGAAGACCTATTCTACCCGGATCTTCACGGGTCCTAGGAATAATGTGCGAGTATGTTTACATTCTGTGAGTATGGTTTTACGCCGCTTTTTGCAATATCCAATCAATAACACCGGAAAGGGGCTTCACAAATTGTACCCATGTGGGGATCGAACCCGGGTCTACGACGCGACGAGCAAACGCTTTAACCACTAGGCTACACTCCCCTTTGCACTCTGCAGCGTCAGATATGCATACATATATAGGATTTAATTATTAAACAGTGTGTATAGTCATATTGTTGTGAAACTTCCGCCCGTTATCCCTGCTTCGAAGATGTTGAAAACAATAACCCTTGGCTAGATGTATAAAACTATCATGTATGTTGGATTACGGTTAGGTTGCCCTAACCCAGGCAAAGTTTGAAGCAAACTTTACTAACGGAGCTTTCCCATATATAAGCTTCCATACAGTTTTACAGTCCACGCTCATGTGTATATCATTAATACGTAATCGATACGTGTTTACACAGCACCATAAGCGTTGTCGCGCATACATACGTCTTGACCGTGACACGTGACCATAACCCAAGGTGAAGGTCAGGACAGACACCAGATGAACACATTTCGTCACCGAGTGTAACAAATTGCTTCTTCTCATTCTGTAACAATGAGAGCAATTACGCACTACGTTAGGATCACCGCATCTGAGAACATGCTGTGTCATTAAAGACCACAACATGGCTTCATATTAAATCTCATTACATAATAACACTGACTACCAAACTCGCACCGACTAGGGAGCTAATTAATTGCCTTCACCACACATTTGCGAAAGGGTTTCGTGAGCCTTACCTAGAAAACAATGTGTTGTCGTTTGATGAATGTGGAAGCGTGACTGCCCCGGAGCTGTCTGGGTGGCAGATCTGAACATTCCTGTCCCGAGGGATCCCGTTCAATTTTGTGAAATTGGAACTCAACTGAAAAGCACTTGATAATGATTGAATGTTGTCAGAATTGGGATTCTATTTTTTTTCTCATCGTAAATCAACATTTTCGATGCGTTATGTCGCCACGTTGACAAGGAGCCAGTTTAACAGTAGAGTCGGATCCTTTGGGGCTCGGTTACATTTCGTTCCCATCCGTTTAACCTGACATGAGTAATAATGCACTTTTTGGTATCAAAGGACGGCTGCATTTACTGTTCAAATGCCAACTTGTGTGACATTAATCAGACAAATATCGGGTTTGGACGGCCAGAGTTCATTAAGGTTTGTCCCGTGTACATTTGTCCATCACCCTTGACCATCAATTGTCCCCTCGTGACACTACCGTAATATGGTGTTAGTAGTACATTTAAAATTTGCCCAAGGTGGCGAGAGTTGCGGGATGTCTTCTCAACAGGCCTAGATGCTTAAGCCAAATGTCAACGTAGGCCGACGGACAGTAATACAATTGATCATCACAAAGCATTAGTAGGTGGTCTGGAACTCTCGAAGGCTGTTGGAAACACTTGAGGGACCCTACTCTGCCGCCGTGTCAAGTTTCATAGACTCCACGGGGAGTTCCGAGATCATGGTATAGGTCCATGTTCAGTTGTTATGGATGTATGTCTGGGCACATATCCTCGAGACGACATATTTCCTAATCAAGTGGATGGCGCCTGTCACACTGTATGACATGATCCCGTTATTATCCATATTTCTGCTGGAGCCGATACCGCTGTGTGGGTACTTGCGGATGGGATCAATCAGAGCTATACAAATATTGGGCGAGAAGTGTTGCAGGCTCGGAAACAAATTACGGCCAATTATCAATGCATTCATCAATCGTCGCTGTTGATGTGCGGGTATAATAGCAAGCCGCAAAGTGTCACATACCGACCCAGTCAAGTGTATCCCCTTTGCCCCAATAACCGACCCGAGGCTGACCTCGGGCGGGCCATTTATACCCGCACATACCGACGATGTTTGGACTGATAATACCTGTAGCTATACTTAGCAACACGAGCTCTCTGCTCCCGAGCACAAGCTTCGTGAATGTGAAGGAGTGTTTTAGCTGAAATGGGGATATTCACAAAGACTTTATGAAGATGCACGACCAAACCCACAACCATAGACCCTCTTGCGGCACGGTTGGTCTCTGGCGGACATTAGAAGTCGATTTAATTGATATTTGGGGAAATAATCCGCAGTGCATTGCAACATGAATGACCCAAGAGGACGCAGCTTGCGAATGTTAAATCTGGGTAATGGGAGGGACGAGGGGTCCTGGGGGACGGCCTGGCCAGGATAGGGAGACAGATAAGCTGGTCCGCACACACAGATCATTAGCAGTCTTGGTCCAACAGCTGTTTCCATCAGAGCGTTAAAGTAGGCCACATTGACAGGGGGAACGCGATGCAAAGGCTCGCCATCCTCCTCGCTATATATAGAGAAGCAGCTTCGGTTACCAGAAAATTAAACTTCAGTCAGACGGAAAATCCTCATGGTCGTCTGTGTTATGTGAAAACTGCTTTTAAAATTAAGTAGCTCGTGGACAACAAATAACACAGCATCTTCCATATCTTGCTCCAGTGCATACCCTTCAGTCGATCGAGTTGTGTGTGTGAAGGGTAATTATTGTGTCATAGGCTACGTAACGAAGATTAACTGTCACATGTTGGATAGAGACACGAGGGAATCTCGTGTGAACTTCATCACCCAATGAATCATGGCTTCGCTCAGAAAGTTCGAAAATACTTTCAAACACACTGAATGAACATTGGACAGAGGCTAGGTGAGCTATGGATAACTTGTCTTAATGACATGGCTATAACGTCAATATGTACTTGTTACAACATGCAATTGATTTAGCTCTATGTCTATTGACATAGGTAGGGTAAACAAATACCACGAGTTCAGCACACGTTCAATACACGAACACAATCTTCACGTTCTATTCAATAGTCACGCTATTGATTGGGATTCAACGAAAGGGTGAAATACGCATGTGGTTGAGTAACAAACATGATATAATCTGAAGTTATTGTTTCAGCTATCACGAAAAATGAGATCACAATGAGGATGACACATGCATCGGAGTCCCGAGGCTCACAATAATCAGGTGAGTTACTCCAGCGACCCAATTAAAGCCACACTGCTGACTCATACACCACTTACCCGTCGTGGGATCCCATATCTCCAAAAAAAATCCAAATATCACCACAAGTCCTGTAAGGACCTGCATGGTTTTTGCATATTCCACTACAGGCGCGGAGAATGGCTCGGTGAACTTGTTAATCCGCCATTGTCGAGCAACTGAGACGAACGAAGTGAGCTGTGCTGCTAGCCCAGCCGGTGTAGTGTCAGACTAGCTAACCCAGACCGCACACCGCGCATTTAGGCTTCCGGGTAGGCCATGGCAAGGGACAGCACTTGTTCTGGAAAGTAACGAGCACATTCTGTCAGATGACGTTGAGAGAATGGGAAGACATAATCGTTTGCACGACGGCAAGACAGTTGTTCAATAATTTAGCATGGCTAACGCGGAGTTATGTGGAATTAGATAACCGGTGTCATAGGAAAACTGTTACCTTGGAAATATTGATCTGTCAACAGACTGCGCGCAAGTGAAAAAATGCAGATGATTAACAGTTGGGACAATTGATGCAGCCTAGCGGACAAAGAGAAAAACATGTTTTGGTTTAGCTCGGGTGCAATTGGCATAGGAATGGTTGTGTATTCGTTGACACTGCGGTGTTGGCGAATTTTCAGACCCTCTTCTGTGTGAACAGCTCTCACAGTGTTTGATTTGAAGTTTTATTGCTATCATGGGCGTCTGGTTTTCGTGATAATTGAATTTTTAGATCTGTATAGTATAAGAGGCTGTCTCTCTGATAGACGGGTACAGTAGATACAATATTTCAAACGGGCTGTGTTCATTGATCATACAGACTACATCATCAATTTAAATATTGGAAAATCAGCGCAAACTGAGAACAGATAAAGAAAGCCCAAACAAAATGTATCGTGCTTTGAATTATTGATTATGTTGCATTTCTGACCCGAAAACGTGCAACACTTTAATTTCCTCTTGTGCAAAAGAAATGCAATTTTCCCGTTCGGTAACTCGGCAAGAGCAACGGGGAATGAATAGTTGAAAACCCATTGCTTTGTTTTTAATGGACTCGCTTCTCAATCACGAGAATGAATTATTTGCGAGTTTGAAAATGATTCTATTAACATATTGTGAACCGAAAAAGATAGAGCGTTAACTAGTGTCAGTTAAAATACTTCGATTCTTAAAGGGAGATTATGTTCAGCCAATTAAGACTGAAAATTGAGATGTTTTTATGCGAAAATGTCGGAGATGCCAATAAAGCTTTAACAAAACAGACCCGTGAAGATCCGGGGTAGAAAAGGTCTTCAGTAACGCATGCTTGCCGTAAAGGCGACTATGCTTGTCGTAATAGGCGACTAACGGTATGGGGTGGTCAGGCTCGCTGACTTGGTTGACGCATGTCATCGATCCCAATTGCGTTGATCGATGCTCATGATATTAATCACTGGATTGTCTGGTCCAGACTCGATTATTTACAGACCGGCGTCATATAGCTGGAATATTGCTGAGTGCGGCGTTAAACAACAAACCAACCAACCAAATTTAACAAAACAACTGTTTAGTCATGGCCATAAGCATAGTTTACTAATATTTATATCAGTCAGTATGTAAATTAGCAGTGAGAGAGAGGTTGGGCGATGCGATATGGCGATTCATCCGAGTGATCGTGTGATGCTAATAAGCGATATTGCGAGGCGACATAGATATTGTGCAATGTGACAGAGATATTTATTGTACGAACTGACAGAGCGATTTTGCGATGTGTCAGAGTGATTGTGCGTTGCAACAGAGGGATATTGTGATTTCTCAGAGATTGCGATGCGACAAAGAGATAGTGCGATGCGACATGCAGATTGTGCAATGTGACAGAGATATTATGCAATGCGACAGAGCGATATTGCGATGCGTCAGAGTGATTGTGCCATTCAACTGAGCGATGTTGCTAGGATACATACAGATTGTGCAATGCGACAGAGCAATATTGCGATACGCCAGCGTCATTGTTCGATGCAACAGGGCGATATCGTGATGTCTGAGAGATTGTGCGATAAAACAGAGATATATTAAGAAGCAACAGAGAGCTTATGCGATATGGGGTGGTGAGGTGCGACAGAGCGATCTGTAAAGTAGGGTATCCACCGAATATATCCATTTCTGAGTTTATGAAAAAGCCAAGCAAAATGATTGATTTATTTATTTGTTGTTTAAGTAAGTGATGTCACGTGCATGTGATAGGATAATCACATCTGTTATCAAATCATGTAATACTATTGTTTTGTTTGTTTTGGGGTTTTTTTGTTCAACGCCGAACTCAGCAATATTTCAGTACACGACGGCTGACTGTAAATAATCAAGTCTAGACAAAACAATCCAGTGATTGACATCATGAGCATCGATCTTCACAAGTGGGATACGATGACATGCATCAACCAAGTCGGCGGGCCTGACCACCCGGTCCCGTTAGTCGCCTCTTACGACAAGCATGGGTTCCGGAAGATCACTTCTACCCCGGATCTTCACGGGTTTCATGCACAGGTTTATGAGCTCTATTTGACTATACAGTTTGTTGAATAGACTCACATATAGTCTATGAAATCGTTTATTACACAATACAATCCTCTCCTCTTTTTTAAAAATTTTTAGATTGATTTTGGTTGTATAAAGTACACATTTTCCTCACTCATATTGCAGGACTAGTTGTTGATTAAAACCGACATGTCCCTATGTCTTCTCTGTACCCGAACTTGTAAAACACTCTGCACCGACTTTCACCGGGTCACCTACGGTCGTAGTTTTAGTGGTTGCATAGTCTCGCAACAAGTGAATCGAATTCATATTAACAGACCCGTGAAGATCCGGGGTAGAATAGGTCTTCAGCAACCCATGCTTGTCGTAAAAAGCGACTATGCTTGTTGTAAAAGGCGTCTAACGGGAACGGGTGGTCAGGCTCGCTGACTTGGTTGATGCATGTCAACGATCCCAATTGGGTGGCTCGCTGCTCATGATATTAATCACTGGGTTGTCTGGTTCAGACTCGATTATTTACAGACCGCTGTCATATAGCTGGAATATTGCTGAGTGCGGCGTTAAACAACAAAGAAACAAACAAATCATATTAACATTTTGTACAAATTTTGCTCTGCACATGCCGACATTCGGGAAAAAACCTTGGAAATGTTTGAAAATAAAGAATGAGGCCTCTTGCTGTGACAACAAAAAATATTGTATCTTTTTTCTCTTACATGATATGTAAATTCGTCGGATGTTGGGTTCATAATAAGTCGACGTTTATGAATTTCCCGACAGTTGCCTGTTTGAAACTATGGATTGCGTACCGCCAACTATGAGCGTTTTCAGGCAACAGAGTGTGTGCAATGAATACAAAACAGTCTGTGGGCATACAATTATTGACGTTATCGTACATGTGCGGCCTTTCAGTGGAAGCAGGTGTAGCAAGGGACTGCATTATTCCATGCACTGTGCCATCAACATGTCCGAGTGAAATAGCCAGGTTACAGAATACATGTGAATTAATCATGGAAATTCAACCTGTTCAGTCCCGTCGTTACTATCATTGTACTCATCATAGCCCGACGCCGTACTTGACGTATTAGTGTCACTCCGTACTCACACTACCCCGATTGCTGGACTACTGTTTCCAGGTTGCACTATCATCCGTACTCACACGATCACAATGACTGGTCTACTGTCTCCAGGTTGCAGAACCATCTATCTGGTTGCACTATCATCCGTACTCTCACTACCCCGATGACTGGACTACTTTCTCCAGGCTGCACTATCATCCGTACTCACACTACCCCAATGACTGGACTACTTTCTCCAGGTTGCACTATCATCCGTACTCTCACTACCCCAATGACTGGACTACTTTCTCCAGGTTGCCCTATCATCCGTACTCACACTACCCCGACGAGTGGATTACTGTCTCCAGGTTGCACTATCACCCGTACTCACACTACCCCAATGACTGGACTACTTTCTCCAGGTTGCACTTTCATCCGTACTCACATGATCCCGATGAGGTCTGAATCGTCTTTTTTCCAATTTAAATTAAGAAAAACAATTCCAGTTGGCATAACCATGTTTCCACCTATCTTTCTGAACATTAAACACCCGTTTGGGCAATTCTTTTACTCCTTGCACTAGCCTAATATTCCCCACATGGGCACAATGTATGAAGCCCATTTGCTGGTGTCCCCCGTCGTGATATTGCTGGAATATTGCTAAAAGTGGCGTTAAACCATACTCACTCTCTCACTGTTTGGGTAACTGACTGCCTCCTTGAATTAAGCAATCATGGCAGGTGCACGTTAAAACGTTTCAGCAAGACTAATGACGTAATTATACGATTATATATTTTAAAGGATTAGAAACGTAAAAAAGACACACTGCACATTCACCTAATCACAGAAGAACACATTCACAACAAAATAACGTTTCAGGACGACGCAAGAAACTTCGACCATCAAGAAAACTTAAGCAAGCATTTAATTACACTGCAAGCAATTAACACACACATAATCGATTAGGACAATTTTCGCGTTCTAACTAAATCTGAACGTGCATTTTAGAACCTGAAATTGTCGGCCACGTAATAACGCCTATTACGGGTATTAACGAGTATTGATCTAAACAAGGTAAGCTTGACGGATCGCCGGGCCGCACGGACTTTCAATACTCAACCATGGCAGAGTGTGACGAGAAGGGCCTTCCAGGCTTTGTCACTCGGGGAATTTTCAAGGACTCATTGATCTATGTGAGAATCTTTTCAAACTCCCTGCGTCAGTTACAGAGCAGTGTAGGAGTTGAGAAGATAGTCGCATTCAGTGTGAGGTCATTCACGGAAATCACGGGACTTGAGCAGATCTTGTTGAATGGGTACATGTAGACCGTTTCCCCTTATCGTGATCCCTCATCACGCCTCTGAAGAAACTGTGAAATATGGATGATGGCCTCCTTTACAGGAATCAAAATTTAATGAATGTGTCTGGCCGCTGATCTGGGAGAAAATCAATTCAGCGTTGTTTTAATGTCGGTATCATTAGCATCCAGGTGTCGATGACCGTATATGTTTGTTTCTTGATGTGAGTCTAGATCTGATGTTTGCATTGGCTCGAAAGAATGGCGAATTCATATCGACTCAACAGCCATATTTTGCTTCATTTCTCCGTTGTGCATGTAGTAGATGGAACAAGCAAACAGATTTACAAGCATAGAATACCTTTGGTATGATGTTATACAAATACATTTGACCCTAGTCAAGCGACGGATGTTGTTCTTGAACAGAAAAAAATATCATTTAGTTTCATAATTCGAGAAAAAATTAGTTAAATTGTCTCATTAAACATAACGATATGCAGCTTGAGAATCTCAATTTGTTGAAACAAGAAAGCCAAACTTACTATGATATG